CGCCCTTCTCGCCGTAAAGCTTCTCGCCGTAAAGCTTCTCGCCGCGGAGCAATCTCGCCGCGCTACGTCGCCCTTCTCGCCGTAAAGCTTCTCGCTGTGAAGCTTCTCGCCGCCGTTCCCGCCCTTCCCACCGTAAATCTTCTCGCCGTAAAGCGTCGCCGAAGGAAGGTTCTTCTGCGTCAGCGGGGTCGTCGTCCTTCTACCCTGCACGTGCGCGTCGTCGTCTTCTGCCCTGCCGTTGAGGATTCTTCCTCGTCTTCGCCGCGCCGCAGCACATCGCTGGGAGATAGGAACGGTGGTCGGCGAAGCGCTTCCAAGTGTTGAAAGGAGGGGCAAAAGGTTGTCACCACAGATCCGCGGCCAGCATGTCGACGAGAGGGACCGTCTGTGGCACGAAGCGCGATGCCGCAGCCACCGTCGGGCTTGCGCAGGCGAAAGGTCGGCGCCATATCCCGAAATCGAAGAAGGTGCGCTCCGATGAAGCGTCAAGAAACGTGCCTGCTCGTGGTTTTGAAGGTTGGGCGGCCACAACGGAAATGGAGTCTGACGACGACTTCGGGATGGAGGAACCGCAGGCGGAGGCGATGGCATCGGCGGTGCGACAAAGCGCTCGCCAGCGAGCTTCTGATCACAGCGCGCCGAAGAGGATGCACCCCCCTGCACCCGAGGCGCAGCAGGCACGTGGCCGCGATGCAAGGAAAGACAAGGCTGCCGTCGTCGTGGCGGAAGGCGATGATGACGAGACGTTGCACAAGATTCTGCAGCCCCGTTGATGACTACACGCCTCCCGGAAAAGGAAGTCATGCCAGAGCGACACGCAATCGAGGGCGAGGCGGCAGGTGCTGCGGGCGGGACCGCCACAGTGAACTCGGCCCCCGTGGCGACGGCGAGAGAGGAGGAAGCAGTTGCGGCGACGGCGAGAGAGGAGGCAGCAGTTGCGGCGACGGCGAGAGAGGACGCACGTGGCGAGAAGACAACCGATCGGGAAGGCGGCGATGTTGGTCCGAGCCGGGTGCGCAAGGAAACCATGAGCAGAGAGCTCATTGATCGCGCCCTACTCTGGGTGGATGACAAAGCGTTCTGGACGATGGGGGAGGGGCGGAGATTGTACAACATCATCCACGAGACGCGGGAATACCTCGTCGCCATCGCCAGCGGCCTTCCAGCGACTGCCGTCTCTCGTCATCCTGCCGAAGTCGAGCACCAGGGTAGCCAGGATCTCCGACCCATCGCAGCTGCAGCAAGCGATCTCCCGTGCGGCGAAAGTGGAGAACGTGGCTTTGCGCGTCCTGCACGGCTGGGTTTTCAAGTCCGGCAACCGCGCAAAGGGGTACAACCTGGCTTACCAGTACGCACTGGAGTCCGTAGCGACGGACATCGCGCGTGCTATGTGGTACGCCGAGGACTGGTCCAACGTCGTCAGCGCGCCCATCTGCGGCCACACAATAGATCTCAACATGGACTTGCCACTGTGGTTCGTCGGCGCCCATATCGACGACAGACCCGACGACGACGACATGGCGGCGTACCAGGAGTCGACCATCATCTGCATCGCCCAAGCATTCCGCGCGGCGGTGCAGATGGGAGCGCACATTGACGGCGATTTCATCTCCTACGACCGTCTTTGTCGGGTGGCTGACTGCTTCAGACTTCTGTTGGCGGCGACAATGTGGATAATGCGCATGGCGGGAGACGACTTCCGCAACCACTACGAGGCGTTCTACTCCGTCAACTTGCTGGCCAGGCCTACACTGGTCGCATCCATGCATCGCTCCTTCGACCATAGACGATCCGTCGTCTGGGCCGCGAAAGCCGTCACCGAGAGGCTTGGGAAGCCGAACCCCACGTTTGGCGAGCACCCCAACTACATCCCTCAATGGGCACCCTCCGACATTACTTTCGGCCACGACACCAGCGTAACGGGTCCGGAGGATTGCAAGAGGCTTGATTGGTTGGGTTCGGGCCCCCCCGATGACGACGGCGACGACGACAAGAAAGAAGGCGCGTAGGGGGTGGGGCGGCGGTTGTTATAGTCCTCGAACATGTCCACGTGGCACATCGACGTGAGGGGCTTCACCGCGGTTGGACCGTTG